GCTTTCAGCCTGAAGAACTTCCTTTAGTATTTCTTATAAGGTGAGTCTGCTGGCAACAAATTCTCTCAGGTTTTGTTTATCTGGAAATGTCTTTTGTGGGGGGTGGGGGGGTTGCTTTTATCTTTGAAGGATAGCTTTGCTGGATACGGGATTCTTATTTGACAGTGTTTTCTTTGAGCACTTTGAATTTTTTTTTTTTTAAAGATGACCAGTAAGGGGATCCCAACCCTTGACTTGGTGTTGTCAGCACCACACTCTCCCAAGTGAGCTAACCGTCCATCCCTATATAGGGATCCAAAACTGTGGCCTTGGTGTTATCAGCACCACACTCTCCCAAGTGAGCCATGGGCCGGCCCTTGAATATGTTTTAATATTCTCACTGTATTGTGGCCTCCATTGTTTCTGCCAAAACATCAGTTGTTCATTTACTGAGGTTCCTTTCTGGTAAGGAGTCCTTTTCCTCTTGCTGCTTTCAAGATTTTGTCCTTATCTTGACTTTCAGAATTTTTATAATGATGTGTCTATTTTTTTTTTTTTTTTTATCTCTTTGCATTTATCCTTCTTGGAGTTCAATTCTTTAAGATTCCTGGATGTGTAAGTTGCTGTTTTCAATAAATTGGGAGGTGTCTTAGTCCATTTTATGTTGCTATAACAGAATACCTGAGACTGGATAATTTATAAAGAAAAGAGATTTATTTGGCTCACGATTCTAGCGGTAGGAAGATCCGGAATTGGGCAGCTACATCTGGCAGGGGCCTCAGACTATTCAACTACAGGGTGGAAAAATGGAAGCGGAGCCGGGAAAATGGAATGGGAGCTGTGTGTGCATAGAGATCTCCTGGTGAGAGAGGAAACAAGAGAAACCAAGGAAGCCATATTCTTTTTAACAACTGCTCTTGCAGGAACTAGTCCATTCCAGTGAGAATTAGAACTCACCCCCGAGGAAGGGCATTAATTCTGTTCATAAGGAATCCACACTCATGACCCAGACACCTCTCACTAGGTACCACCTCCCAACACTGCTACATTGGGGATCAAATTTTAGTATGACTTATGTTGGGGACAAACCACATCCAAACCATTGCAGGATGTTTTCAGCCATTATTTACTCAAATATATTTTCTGCTCCTTTGTGTTTTCTTTCTGCTAGTCCCATTACATATATGTTGGTGCACTTCATGGTGTCCAGCATTTCTCTGAGGCTCTTTTAATTTTTCTTCATTCTTTTTCCTCTCTGTTCTTTGGCTTGCATAATCAATCAATCAATGCCTTGGGTTGAATGTCCCCCCAAAATTTAGCCCCCCACTGTGACAGTGTTAAAAGTGTGGGAAGTCTTATTATGGTAATTGAAAAGTGAAGCCTTGAAGAGGTGATAAGATTATAGGACCATGCCATAGTGAATGGATTAATAATGGTGGTCAGGGGCATGTTTCTGAGGGCTTTAAAAGAAGAGCACATAAGAGGTTGGTCTCTCTCTGCTCCACCATTTTCTGCATTTGAGACCCCTGGGTCACTGTCACCACCACCAAGGCCTTCTCCAAGTGTGTTCCCTGGACTTTGGACTTCCCAACCTCTAAAACTGTAAGCAATAAATTTTGTTTTCTTATAAATTACCCAGTTCTGGGGGGTTTGTTCTAAGCAACAGAAACAAACTAATACAATCTATCTTCAAGTCTGCTTATTCTTCCTTCTGCTAGTTTATATCTACTGGTGTGCCCCTCTAGTGTTGTCTTTTTCCGATAAGTCCAACATCTGGCCACTCACAGGCAGCTTCTGTTGCCCGCTTTTAATCTAGTGTATGGGTCTACTTTCCGGTTTCTTTGCATACTTCATTTTTGTTGGAAACTGGACATTTTAGATAATACATTGTAGCAACTCTGGGTGCTGTCCCCCACCCCACCCTGGGGCTTGTTACTGTTAATAAGATTGTTTGTTTAGTGACTGGGTAGGTTATTTAGTCAAGTCTGTTTGCCTGTCAGTGTTCAGCCTCTGATGTTGCTCCCAACGTCGGGGGCTGGGGGCGGGGCGGGGGCAGCAGCAAGCTTTGGGTAAGCCTACAGCCACCCTGTGATACAGTGGTTTTAGTGGGGCACTTTTCCTCTCCTTCGCTGGTCACACCCCACTGTTAAACTCCACTATGCCAATTGATTGCTCTACTGTTCTCAGCAACAGCCTGGGGTATAAATTGCTCTACAAACCAATGTGGCTTCTTTGAGAGAATAGTTTGTACAGTCAGTGTTTGGTTAGTTTGTTCCAGCTCCAGGAAGGCTCCTCGAAGCTGGTTCTCTCCTGCAGACTAGCTATCCCGCAGCTGAGCCTGTGTCTTGATTCTCCTCCCAACTGCCTTTCGTCACAGTGACAGCTCCCTTAGGCTTGAACTTCACACTCTGGTGCAAATGAAGTCAGTGCTTTTGGGAAGACATTGTGAGCTCTCTGTTTTGTTGTCTGCCTCCCCCCCCCCACCCCCAAGGCAGTACCTCTGAGCCAGGGTTCTGTGGCTGGGGACAGTGACACAGAGGCTTCCCTCTGGATGACACCCCTGCCCTAGGAGCTGAGCACTCTTGGGGAGATGGGGGTTATGAGGGCAGCAGCAGCCTGAGATCCCCTCTGCTCACCTTTCCTGGCCCAGAACCACTGCCTCGTGAGCCGGAACAAGAGTGGTAGGGCCCGAGTCTTCCCAGCACGCTGCACCCAAGGTGGAGCCTCCATTCCACAAGCAGGGTTTGGCCAGAAGAAGGGAGGCCCCTCCCCTCAACCTCCCTCACTCAGGACTTAGCCTTCGCAGCAGGCAGGGTGAGGAGCACCGCTGTCCTGCTCCTCCTGGGAAGAGCGCCTACCCACGGGGCTGCTGCAGAGGGGCGTCCACACACCGCAGACTGGCCTTTCGTACCGAACTTCTGTAGGCGTTCTTGAGCAGAGGTTTCTTCAGTGGCCGTCTGCCCACAGGACCACTCCCAAAGGTGTATAAGTGGTTGTTTCTCTACTTTCTGCCACTTCTGCTGGGGAGAGGGTCGGTGAAGTTCCTGGTGCTAGATGCTGGAAGTCAGTCTCTTCCAGCCCTTTTTGGGAAACTACATTTGTGCTTCTGACATCCCAGCTTTTAAACACTCTACTTGGAATGAGAAAGTCTTTGGTTTTTAGAATGTTTATGTGGGAGCAGTCCACGTTGCCCAAATGAAGAGCAAGAACTCAGCGAGTTAGAAAAAGTGTCATGGATTCTTGACATTTCTTAGAGCTGGCTTCCCCACGATGGAGCTGAAGCACTGTCATATCTGACTTTTGCAAACCCAGTGGGACAACACATGGCCCCTCTCAAGTGCCCAGCCCCACCCCACCGAAAGCATTTGGAAGCACCCGCAACTGGAAAGGGCCCACACAGCTTAGAACATAGAGCCGTGACAGGTTCTCTGGTTCCGTCCCTTCTACAGGAAGCCAGTCGGTTCAGGCAGCTTTTGGGGATCACATCCGGGATGCACTGTAGTGATGGAGCAGGGACTTCAGAGCCAGATGTCACTTATGTAACCTTGAACAAGTTCCTTGCCCAAGCCACCCTCATCTGAGGTGAGGATGCTGCACTTTTTGAAGCTGTTCATGCACCCTGGCACGGTGCCTGGCACATCAGCACTCAGGGATAGCAGCTGTGGCCATCTGTGTCGGAGGACTCCTAGCAGGAAGGAGTGGATCGTCAGTGGCTTTCTAAGACAAAATGTTTGTTCCCTACTGTGCAAGGGACAGCGTTTTAGGGAGACAGACTTGCTCAGGACTGGGTGGTAGGATTTTGTCCCTACAAGAGAGAGGTTCATGGCAGCTCTTAGAGGCCCTATGACCTCTGTAGGCTTAGTTCCCACTGTGTGACTGTGACCGTAACTGCTACCAGGGCTCTTTCAGCAAAGAGGATGTGAGCCCAGCCCCAGGTGTGCCCACAGCAGCACCTACTTCATCTGGCCTGTGAGCACCTTGTTTGTACTGCCTGTAGCTGGGCAGGTGCTGTCCTTCCATAAGCTGGAGGCATTTTCTTTTTTCTCATTTTCAAAATGCATTCTCCAGTGGCCGCAGTATCATGGAGCCTTGGAGTTGCCACCTCCCGGGGCCTTTGGAGGCATCTTGGGTGATGGGCTGTACGGTAGGGATGGGTGAGGCTTCGTTGTTGACAATTTCTAAACTGGTCCAGTTCCTTTTTTATTTCTTTTATCTGCTGTTCGACAGAGTGCCCTTCATCCGACCCCTCTGGATTTCCAGTTCAAGGGCCTGTTGGGACAACAGCTTTCGAGCCTTTTACTCACAATTTCTACCCTTATTACTCACTTATGTTAATTATTTCTGTTTATTACTGACTTTTATTTGTGTCACATTTTAAGGTGAGATTTAAAATATATTACTTTCTAAGTGCAATATGGTATCCTGGACTGGATTCTAGAACAGAAAAGGGAATTCATGGAAAAACTGGTGGAATTCAAATAAAATCTGCAGTTTATTAACAGTATTTCTTAGTATTAAAAAATGGACCATGGTTGTTTAATATCAGCAGAAGCTGGGGGAAGGGTACATGGGAACCCTCTACTATTTTCACTACTTTTCTGAAAACCCAAAATTGTTCCTAAATAATTTTATATTTTATGACTTTAATTCTTTTCTTGTTACTAAGACTTCCCTTTGCATTCAGGATAAAATAGAGGCGGACCAGTTTGTTAATATTAAGATTGTGAGACAGAAGCTAACTGCTTTCAACTAGGAGAATTAGGACTACAGTTTAGGGAAGAGCCTGAGAGCAGGGCTGGCTTCTGTGTCTGGCGAAGCCACAGGTGTCTGTGAAGATAATAAAAACCTGGGGATGGAAGGAATTGCCTTCAGGTTTTCTGTTGGGAAATTTCACGACACGCTCATGTTTCTTTCCTGAGAGCATTTCTGAATGACCGTCTCAATCTGGTCCAGCTCACAGTTGGAGTGCGATCTTCAGCCCGCCTGAAAGCCCGAAGTTGTCCCACAGCCAGGTTGGCCACTGCCCAGGAAGTCACTGGCTCCACGTCTGCCAAGACAGCATGTCTGGTGAGCCTCACTGCTACAAAGAATGCCACGATCTGACTCGCAGGTCCATTTTTATACAAAATTGTCACTCTAAGATGTGTCGTATTAGAAAAATACTGAATGTTGCCTATACGAGGGTACTTCAGAAAGTTCATGGAAAGATTCACATTATCTTTTAATTCTGTTTTTTCACGAACTTTCAGAAGTACCCTCAGATACCAGAGGGGGACTATTTCAGAGAAAAAGGTGACACTGCTATAATTGCTTCCAAAGAAAGATACACTCTCCAGTCCAGGGCTTCCTCCCTAGCATCTGCCCACCAGTGTGTGTGTATGTCAGAGACTCAGCTTGGCAGGTGGTCCGTTGGGTGGTGGTGGTACATTACTACTATATTTTTGCCCTAAAGGATGCAAGAGAACTGTAAAGCAGGCTTGGGGGAGGAATCACTGTAGTTTGCTGTTCAACAGAGTGCAGCTGTTGTTTTGGGGGGAGTGTTGGTTCCTAGACTGACCCGGAAGGTAGAGGTGCTTCGCCGAGCCCACAGCCCAGCGGGTGGGACTTGGTTGTACCCCAGCAACTAGCAGTGTCTCTCTCAGTGAGTTGCGTGTTAAAATGTTCTTGAAGTCAATTTAACAAATACTTGTTGGGCACCTACTACATGTCAGGCCTTGTTGGGTGAATAAAGCAAAGATCCCTGCCTTCATGGAGCTTATACTTGAATGGAAATGAAGGAAAACTGGATTCTTGCATTATAATTTTTTAACGTGTAAATACATTCTTCTGAATTTGCCTCAGAAGATATAGCACCCCTAGGGAAAACTGCCAGTGTAGGAATGATGTTGGGACGTGTGTCTAGCTTTGTTCCCAGCCGTCAGTTTGGATTCTCTTTGGTGGCAGAACAGTGAAACAACTCTCTGTTAAAGTTGTGGTTACAGCATTTACATTGTTTGTGATGTGAGAAGAAATACTGGCCTCTGGATTGAGCCTTTTTTATTTGCTAGACGTCTCTGGTTTTCCCTTACATTTTTTTTTTCTTGACAGACTTCTTCATCACACAAAGCCACGGACAGAAGAACTTCCAAGAAGTTCAAGTATGACAAAGGCCATCTTGTGAAGTCAGAGTTACAGAAACTAGTCCCTAAAAGTGATTGTGCTTCTTTGCCAGAAGAAACTCCTGAGACCCCTTGTAAAAATGAGTTTGCTGGAGACGGTGCCTTGCTTCTGGGCAGTAAAGCTGGTGTTGCCACACAACAAGAGACTGCTGCTCTTCCCCTGGGTCACTGCAGAGCTGTGAGTGATCCTTGCTCAGGAAAGACTGAAGGTGGCCTGTCCACGCCAAAACACAGTGCCAGTTCTGGAGCAGAAGAGTCTAATAGCAGTGCCACCGTGCAGGATGAGTCTGTCCTAGAGTCAGAGGAAGTCCAGACACCCCCACTTCAGATGGACAACAGCGTCTTTCTAGACGACGACAGCAATCAGCCAATGCCTGTGAGCCGATTCTTTGGGAACGTTGAACTCATGCAGGTAAGATGGTGCCTCTTTCCTCCGTAGGTACTCAGGCAGCAAGCTGCACATGCAAGTTATGTACTCCCAACCCACTGCTTGGAAATAATGCCTCAGCACACAATTAAACAAATTAATCATTTTAACCCACAAAGAGAAAATAAAACATTTGCTGATGGCCTGATGGCTTGCTCCCACAGCCCTCGTGTGTGTCTGGACCTCCCTCCACAGGGCTTGTCGTTGCATGAACAGCCACCCAGTACTTGCTGCTGTCTCTTTTGTTTTGAACTCAGTCTTTCCTTCTCCTCTTTACTTGATCGACCCAGCAGGGAAGAAGTTCTTATCTAGAGACGAGTGCTGGGACTCAGTCATCTCCACACGTCTAAAGGGAGGACTGCTCTGCAAGACCCAGAGCTGGTGGGTGGGGTGAGCAGTGTTGTGCGTGACCAAAGAGTCTGATCTCTTCCCCTCAGGACCTGCCACCAGCATCCTCATCTTGTCCTTCAATGAGCAGACGAGAATTCCGAAAAATGCATTTCAGAGCCAAAGATGATGACGATGATGACGATGATGCGGAAATGTAGAACATATACAAAATGACTTCTTTGCCTATTTAATAAGTGAGCAATTTGATAAGTTAGCACATTACAAGATTTATATAAAGTGTATCTCCAAGAGAATGTGTTGTTAATCACACTTCAGAACTGACCCATTAATGTCAATGGTGCGAAACACCGACCACCTGTGGAAGGTTTACTCTTGTACCCTGGGACAGTCTTTGAGATTATAAAGCTGCTGTTTCTGTGCTGATGTCTTTTCTTACATACGTATGTACATACACGAGGATGATTGAGTCAGCTGGGGGGACTTGGGGTTAACGAGACAGACCTTGGTAAAGAAAACTCTTCACTTGAGCTCGGTAGTTTTGGTAACATGCAAGTTTATTTTCTATTGTCAAAACATGATCATTCTGATGATTAATTCAGTACTCGTTCTTAAAGAACTCTTCTTTATTTCTGTTTATGAAGCTGAAGTTGACCTTGGAAGTTTTGCAAAATACATGTGGGAAAGAAAGAAAATATATTTTGAAAATATTTTTAAAGTCTTATGTCCCTAAAACTGTATTCCTTTCTAAAATGTTTGAGAGCCAAGTGGAGGAAAGGACTCTGGTCCCAGGTCTTATAAGGTTGGGCCTGTCTCTTAGATCCACTAACCAGCGGGAGAGGCGAGGCCCTTGGGCTGGGCTCTGACCAGAAAGTGACGTGGTCCCTTCCCGTCTCTTCCCCTCTGTCACTCATCTGTGCCGTAGAAGTGTTGAGCTTCCTTACCCTGTGTGGTGGGGAAGGCTAGCCGTCCAGAGAAGGTTGTGCTCCCCTCCAGGGTGTAGACATGTTCCACCCCCGCCAGGGACTGCGCTCCCCAGGCCCCTTGCACAAGGAGCGCCTTGTGACATGCTCACTAGCGGGCAGTGGAGAGAAGCCACGTGGAGCTGGCTTCTCCACTGCCAGTTCCTGCCACCAGCTGCACGCAGGGGCCAAGCAGAGCGACCAGGAGGAGGGACTGAGTCCTCAGTGACCAAGCACAAAGAGGAAAGGCTGCCTGCCATGTGGGACTTTTCAGGAGAGCAAGAGTCTTACTGTTTTTGAGCTGTTACACATCTCTGGTTTAGTTATAAACAGCAAGGCTTAACCCCATTAAAACATCCTATGAAGTACAGGAAGTATTTTACCTAACAGATAAATTGGGAGTAAAATGTAGCTGAAGTGTCCTTTAATTTTTCCGCTCTTTTACTTTTCAAAAACTGCCCTCCAAAAGCAACATTCCCCAGCAGTCAATCTCTGCTTCCAGTGTGATCACGTTCCTATTAGCTATGACTTTATCCCACAAGAATAATCTTGTGATTTACTGACCAATGAACTATAACTTGAGTGTTGCTCGCAAAGCCATTTTATGGTAGCCAGGGACAATCATTTACAACTTTAGATTGCTACATGAATGGCTAGTAATAACAGAACCTGTGTCTGTGGTGTCAGCTGCCTCAAATTTGAGAATTTTGTTGTTCTGTAAGCAGACGTCTGCAAGCAGCACTGTCCTAAATGACAATATTCCTGCAGAGGAGATACATTGCTACAGTCCCAGCAAAGTGGATAGAGTGTCTGTTCTGGGGGCCATCCCTGTCCACTTGGAGTTTCTAACTTGCACTGACAGACATCCCCAGGTAGAGACACCTTCCCAGTCTGCCGAGACTTTTAAAAGTAGTCCTCTGAAAAGAAGGTCCCCGCATGCACTGCTTTTCCTCTCTAACTGGCAGTGCAGCTTAAAGTGAGGCAGGGCTGTCACCTTCCCCAGGTGACAACTGGCTCCACGCTGAAAATGTATCTTTCCGTGTGGCAATTTGGGGAGTCTTTGAAGGACAGAAAACCCCATGCGGAATCTCCTAGGTGGTGAGACAGTGGCAGAGATGGCAGGTCTAAATCAGTGAAGGTCACCGTCAAGTTAGAGTGAAGAAGTAAAACGTGGGTGTCCCAAGTGAAGAAACAGCCCAGACGAGGGCGGTGCTGCGAGAGCCTCGCAGGATGTTTGGGGACAGTCAGGTTGTAAAGGGACAAGAACAGAGGACCCGTTGTGTGTGTTCGCAATGCAGAACCACGTGACAAAAAACGGGCCAATGCAGAATGGCTGTAGGGCTAGCGATACAAAACCAATGCAGAGTCAGCCCTCAGGACAAAGTAAAATCTCAAAAAGCACGTTAAAATAACTAACCGTGAGCACCCCAGTGATACCCTCGTCCTGTACTGTCTGCCAGCATCTAAAATGAGTGCCCTACTCTGGGAGGCCAAGTTGTGTTACAAACATGAATTTTTAGAAACAATTTCTAATGTTTGCTTTGCAAAACTATACACACGTGCTTGAGCAGTGTAAAAGAATATTAGTAGGCGCGTGCTGAAAGCACTCTGCTTCACAAGATGGGTTCTTGCAAAACTGACAACAGAAAACACTGTACTTTCCTCCTCCCTGTGCACACAGTGTTGGGACCCTAAGACCAGCCTCAGACTCAACGATTCTCTAGAAGAAATCACAGGTCTCAGAGAATGGTTAATTATAGCAAAAGGATACAAACTGAAACAGCAAAGGAAAGAACAGGGGGCAGAGTCCAGGAAAGACCAGGTGTGAGCTTCCAGATGTCCCCTCCCAGGGGAGTCACATGAGGATCCGCTGAATTCTCCCACCAATGGCGGGTGCCAACCAGGAGGCTCAGCCAAGCCTTGCTGCCTTGGGTATTACTGGGGTCAGTCATGTAGGCATGGAGTGCCCACGTGCAGACCCTAGCTGCTTGCACCCAGGCCCCCCGCCCCAAGTCAGACTGATGCAACAGCACCAGGGCCCCAGGCACACAGAAATACTCCCAGGCAAGAGATTCCAAGGCCTCTGGCGTTCTCCCAAGACTCTGGACTGGGAAGAGTTGAAGAAGTAAGTCAGCCCCTTCCTCGATCCCTTCTACAGCTCCCCCCGGCCTCTGCAGTCAAAACCCAGTCCTCGCCCTGGCCTTAACTCAGAGCATGGTCTGGCTTCTTAACCCTTTGACCATTGTCCTTCAGCCACAGCGGCCTTTTGTCAGGACCCTAACATGCTTCATCTGGCCCCCAGCTCTCTGCTTGGCTGGCTCCAGTGTCACGCCTCAAATCCCCCCGCCCACCCCATCCCCCCACCTCTGCCACTCTCTCCATCTTGGCACCATGACTCCGCTCCTATGGCAGGCTGATGGCCAGCCGACTGTTTATGGTGTGCCTCCTCCCGAGCTGCAGGAAGTGGTGTTCCCTGCAGCCTTGTGCCCTGCGTGGAGGCTGGCACAGGGCAAGTTGAGGCCCTCTGCAGACCCCCCTACAGGCCCTCTCTTAGAAGCACACTGCTGACACCAGGACCCTCCAGCAGTAGGTGACCCTCATGCCCATAGATCATGTGACTCCACACTGTCAGCACTTAGAATTTTTCTCCCTCCTTTTGTGTGCAAATGCACGGACCGTTAATCCACTGCAGGACAGCTCTCCGGGTGGCCTTGGACCAACCCAGTTCCCCCTC